TCAGGTTTATAGTTAGGGCTGGTTCAGGTTTATAGTTAGGGCTGACTCAGGTTTATAGTTAGGGCTGGTTCAGGTTTATAGTTAGGACTGGATCAGGTTTATAGTTAGGGCTGGCTCAGGTTTATAGTGAGGGCTGGCTCAGGTTTATAGTGAGGGCTGGTCCAGGTCTATAGTTAGGGCTGACTCAGGTTTATAGTTAGGGCTGGTGCAGGTTTATAGTTAGGGCTGGTTCACGTTTATAGTTAGGGCTGACGCAGGTTTGCCTTAGTCCAGCCCCTAGATATGCTGCTATAGACCCAGACTGCTGGAGGACTTCCTATGGTACACTGAGCTCCTCTCTCCTCTTACTCTGCTTCTGTATATATTCTTGTCCCATTAATGCACATTAATAACTTTGCTTCTTCCTCAGAGTCTTTGTGCTATCTCTCCTCACAGGTTTCCATGGATCGTGGTTTTACCTGAACCATGGTCCTGCCTCCTGCCTTTATAGTAATTCACAATCACCCCCAACCCTGCACCCACACTTTGGCAGAGGAGGTGAAACCTGCAGGTTGTACTTTGGATGGTTGTTCCGAAGCTAAATACTTTCATTAATCACTCATTTTCTAAGATAATGTTCTCTGTGAAGTTTTGTAGATGTTGTTATTGGTGGATTTAATGCTGAGAGGAACTGTCTGGTTTTCTTACGTTCTTGACTCGAGTGCCGAGGTCTTGGATGAAGACTTTACGGAGGGTGGTCAGCGTCTGCAGCTCTTTGGCCTATTGGATGAAAAACAATAACTCAACTTATCTCACATGTGTCACTTCTGCAGACAAGATATGATAAATGTTTGTAAAAAATAATAATAATCCACCTACCACAGTCTCCTCCAGACCCTTCAGGTCCTCTTTGGCTTGTTCTCTCTTCTCATTCAGGAACCTTAATCACACAAACAAAGTTCACTAAAACAACCTGACTGATGGTATTGATATTTTATCTAAATATTTTAGTTTTATCCATACACCAAATTTTGCACCTCCGGCAATAGGAAACACTAATTACTGATATTTCAACTGTAATTAATCCTGTGTTTCCATTACATGACATTACAGTCATTTAGCAGATGCTTTTATCCAAAGCGACTTACAATTCATTATCTATCTGTACACCGTAGGCACAGTTACGAGAGCAATTTGAGGTTAAGTGTCTTGCTCAAGGACACATTAACATGAGACTAGGGGAGGCGGGGATCGAACCGCCGATCCTCTGATTGAAGGACGGCCCTGCTTTCCACTTAGCCACGGTCATGCCACTTTCCACTGAATATATAAATATATTTATTGATTTGGAGAGGCATAAAAACTGGTGTATGGAAGCAAACTAACAGACGGATGTTTGTCCAAAAGCAGCAGAGTTCTTGATGAGTCTAAGTTGAGGACAATGGGACAAACTTACAGCAGTTTCTGAAGTTTCTGGCCTTTGTTCTGATCCTCAGCTTTAAGTTTGTCAAAATCAGACTTAAGCTTCCGGTTCTCCAGCTGTAGAGCCTGATTCCCACTAAATTAACACATACAGCATTTATTAATACTCCCTTACTGCCACCGCATTTATACAGTTGTAGCCTCAAATGCTTAAAAGTCATCAAAATGAAAAAGCACAGCAAAAATTAGGATGAAAATTCCCGGAGAAAATCTTCTTGTCGACTAAAACAAATTACTTAAATGTGACTAAAAAGAAGAGTCGCTTATGACATCATAATGAAGTGCAAAAACAAATGCTGTCATACACACCTGTGTTTAAAAAGGATAGAGACAATGACAATAATATAACTATTACTTTTGATTACAACCACATCAGTCACTTATCAGTTATGTTCGACATGATCAATAGTGATAATCAGTCAATGATCGGTTGTTATAATCAATAACATACTCTTTGAGTTGGTCGACGTCTCTATGCTTCTGCTCAATCTCGTCGCGTAGCCGACTCAGCTGTTTGTGATGAACTTCTCTGTGGTTCTCCATCTGTTCCTCCAGAGTTCTCTACAGAACAAAACAACATTAATTTATGGTTCTCTTACTCACTTAATTTACATAAAGGAAGACTTCAGTTCTCTAACTCACTTAATTTACAGAAAGAAGGAACGCTTCAGTTCTCTAACTCACTTAATTTACATAAAGGAACACTTCAGTTCTCTAACTCACTTCATTTACATAAAGGAACACTTCAGTTCTT